CATTGCGTCTGTTCATCATATCCAGCTTGTGTAATCTAACCCGACATCACCAGAAGTATCAATCAAACTATTCATTGTGAATGAAATATCCTCCACCTAGCCAATATAACATATAAGGTAACCATAGTTCTCGACCCTACAATGGCACTGAGATTACGGGACTGGCCATTATTTAGTTCACAGTATCTTATTTAGTGAAAAATTTGGAAGAGAATTACTCCTACATAGAGATCATAATTCATAGACTAAATTTAAACAATTGGATTTATCCTACATAAAGATAGTAAAGGCACGTTTGCTCACATATGGGTGAAGAGTTTAAAAAATAATTAGGAATTCATTGAAAAATTATTAATCGTACGATGAAATTACTGTATTTGGAATAACATACTTATTTTGATATCAGACATAGTGAATTGTGTTGAGAGGAAATCCATTCTTTTCTACTCAAATTGAGGAGTCCGAATACCATTCTTAGTCAGTATAGAGGAAGATCACCTTATTATCAGTATAGACTATGTAGAAACCAAATTTTTAAAACATACGACTCCAATTAACGGGCAGGAACACTTCTCATCAACAGCTCTTTCTCCTCCCAATATATGTACGAGGAACATCTTCTCTAATCTTCTATGTTTCGTCTCTTTTAACAAGGTCCTTGACGTTTTTCAAAGTATGTATAAAAATAGTTGGCTTCAATAGCGCTAAAGGACAATCTCAGGCTCTTATCTTTTTGCGAGACATCAAAAAGATATATTGTGTAAATACTTATCAAAAAGAAATTATGGAGCGATACTAATACTAAGTGTATTAGTAAAAGGCATTAAATGACAGTTTTTTATTAATAGGTCACTTCAATAGTAGAGTTTATTTGTTGTCTTCATTTCATAAACGCAGTCGACTTGTGTGTGTTTCAAACACTCAACAGCCCACCATAGTAAATTGAAAAGTAATTTAATACAAAATGCTATAAAGTATTATCTCATTTAAAAAATTAATGGAACTCTTTAAAAGCATACATAGATAAGATATCAATTCTCAATTATCATATTTGAGTGACCAAGCTGCACACCTTTTGAAAAATCAATTTAAAGAAACAACATTAATAAGTAACCCACATATCACTAACCTCATTTTGAGACTTCGATACTCTTAGGGTACAATTAGATTAAGTATCTTAAGTCTACTATAATAAAAACAAACTCTCCTACTTTACCCTCACTTCTCAATTAGGTGCAAATGTTCTAGTGATTTTTTATAACAAAACTTCTCTTCAATTCATACTGAAATTTCTTTATATTAAAAAAAACTATATACTGCTTCACAGCAAACATACTAATAGAAATAGATATGGTCGCAATCTAATAACATATCCATATTGAAGTGAGTGTGTGATCAACAAGTATCCCCACATTGAACGGGAACGACAAACATTTTTATAGTTAAATTTCAAATCCTAACATTTAATCCTTTTACTTAAGCCTGCCTCTAAATTTAAAAAGATATCAACACTCTTGGTTACCAAATGTAAATAATAAAGAAATTTCACTGCCATCAGTTCTAATCCATTTAGTTCATCCATTTTCTCATACAGTGAACATCTTTTGTCTATCAGAATGTAACAAGAGTAATGCAAATCCCACTTTCTTTGTCACCTTTGAGCCCAGGAGCAATCAATCTCAGTAATAACACAAATACTGTAGGCCTATGGACTGATACACTGCTTCTGAAGTAAAAATATTTTTCTAGAAATTCAAGTTTGTCATTTGAGGAAATCTTTCACTGTTCTAGAAGCACAGTTCGAAGCTCATCTTCTTTGTTGATCATCATTGAAGCAATTGCTCCATCATTAAACTCAAAAGAAGTTCCTCCATCCACAACCATGCAGGCATCCCAACAACGAGAACGAACACAAACCCTAACAAGAAGAAAATGACTCATTTAATGACTCATTAAATATTTCACAACTCCAAACAATAGTTTATACCCTGAATTTTCATTTAAACTAGCAGATTAGTTTTCATTTTAAAAATGAAGTTGCATGAGAAATCTCTCTGTATGGCTATCTTTATCTCAAACTAGCAAAAACACTATGTATTTCTTATTATCTCTTATGTTTTCTCTTCAACATAATTGGAGAAGAGGGCAGAACAGGTTCTGCCCAGAAGCAGGGTGTACCAGGGAGGTGGCACAAACAATGTATACACATGTAAGTAAATGTAAAAACAATAAAAGGAGGAAAGAAAAAATAAAAATGAAGTTGCTCTTTGGAATGAGAGAATTAGTGACTGTAACTAATATAGGCACATTATCAGTCTCAAATTTCACATGTATCAGTGAACAGTGCAGACAAGATGGAACTCAAGAAAACTCATTGTTTTCATGTAACTGTTGAGTTACTATCATTACAAGTATCTCATACTGAGCAAAAGTGTTATTTTCATATAAAGTTTTAACTTAAGGATAACACATAAATAGAAGAGGTCCAAATCAGTAATGTACAGCTCAATGAACACTTGTGTAATTATCACCTAAAAATTAGGAATCAGTGTCCTCTCCCAGTTGCTACTCCTGGTCCCTCCTTTCTAAGCATACCCACCATCCTATTTCTATTACCCTCATACTAATAACTGTGTCCATTCTTGAACATTATGTTAGTATTTTAGCCATTCTAGTGAGTATATCTATTATCTTATTACATACTTTTAATTTTCAATCCCCAGATGAAAAATAAGGTCAAGTACTTTTTCATATGCTTGCGAGATGTCCCCTTATGTGGAATATTTAAAACATTTGGCCTTTTGTGGGGTGGGCAGGGGAAGATAGGGATGGCTGCCTGCAAGATACTTTTTCTTCTTTGAGACAAGATCTCACTATGTAGCCCAGGGCTGGCCTCAAACTTGCAATCCTGCCCCAGCCTCCTGAGGGCTGGGATTACAAGAATAAACCCAACTCCTGGTTTATAGGACTTTTAATATACAGATTGAGTATCTCTTAGTCAAAATGGGACCAGACATGTTTTAGACTTAGAATTTTTTCAAATTTTTTAAATATTTACATATAAGTAATGAAGTATCTTGGGAAAGGAACCCATGTCTAAACACAAAATTCGTTTCATATACACATAGTCTGAAGGTAATTTTGTACAGTATTTCCAGTGCATCTGCACTTTGAGTGTGTCCCACCACATGAGGTCACATGTGGAATTCACTCTTGTGGCATGAGGTCCATGCTCACAAAGTTTTGGATATTGTATAGCATTACAGATTTCAGGTATCTTTCACAAATATCCTTCTCACTCTGTACCTTGCCTGTTTCCTTAATGGAATATTTTCATTAGCAGAAGTTCTTAATTCTAGTGTAGTTCATTTTACCAAACTTTACTTTCATCGTATCTTTTCACGACATGTTTTTAAAACCTTTTCTAACCATGAAAGCCATAAAGCTATTCTATTTATATTACCAAAAATTTTTCTTCTTTTGGTGGGACTGGGGTTTGAACTTAGGGCTTCGTGACTGCAAAGCAGGTACTCTACACAAAAAATGTGTATTTATAAAAAGAAAATACTCACACCACAGGTGACATTTTATAATTAAACTGTTCTTTGCTTGCCACAAGGTAAGATGACATTGTCTCACAAGTTTTCTTACTTTTTGAAAAAGTGGGCAGTCTTTGGAAAATAGAAACTATTCAAAAACAAAAGCTGAGGCAAATTTAGTGGAAAAGCTGAAAGAAATGAATTCTACTCTTAAGTTTCATATGAGTACTTATTCTGCTTGCATTCTACAACTTATGAAAAAGAATTTGCTTTCTGTTTTGTTTCAGAAGTAATTTGATCCTACTGTGTCTTGATGCATTAAAATCCAACAGATCAACACCAAGTAACTACATATCTTCTTTTCATGGAACTTTAGTTTTCTCTAAAATGACACAAGTTTGAAAATATTTTAGCCAGTTTAGCTTGATACCAAATTACTCTCAAGGTTCTACTTTTGCAGCTAGATTAAGTTTAAATTAGTGGATCTAATGAAACTGAATACTCTTAAAACCAAAAGTGTCCCATCACTCAGAAGACTGAGGCAGAAGGATCATGAGTGACAGGTCAGCCAGAGCTACACAGCAAGGCCTTGTTTCAAAAAAACAGCTGGGCATGATGGCACACACTTGTAATCCCAGCAGATCATGAATCCGAGGCCATGCGGGGCTTCACAGAAAATCTGAAATGAGTCTGAGATACATACTGAAACCCTAACTCAGACACAAAACAAAAAACAGTTGTGCTTTATATTGGATGAAAACAGTCACAAGTCAGACCCAACGTGCTTACTTTGAGGAGAAACAACGCTGACGACTGCTTGAGAAAACTCTGTTTGCTATTGGTTCTCGAATACTGAAAAGTATTTTTGGTTCTTCTGGACTGTAGAGCAGTGATTCATTATATTCATTTGTTACTATAAAGAAAAGAACCATATTGGCACATTTAATAAAGGATAGTTACATCTCAGAAGTACAAAATGAATATTAGATGCTATCTCCAACTTAAAAGCGATCTGTTCCAAAGGTCTGTTTGGGAAGTTTCTTGGAACTCAATACATATTACACTAAAAGAATAGCCTTGTAAATGAATATTAGGTTCTACTATTAGCTCACAAAAGTATACATCACCCACAATACAGCAGAAATCAGTACAGTTAGGAGTGAAAAAAATGCTAACTATGAAGCTAGTAAGTAAAAAACATTTTTTTTTAAAAATAAGTCAAAAACAGAATTTGAGTTGCCATATTCCTCTCCCAAGTTCTTTCCAGAATATCATGTCAAATAGTTTATTACTAAAAAATGACAGGCAACATGCCTTCTCCAGTACTCGAGATAATTTTAGAAATCTTTAGGACCTGCTTTCTCTCCAACCAAGAGATACATGAGGGTTGGCATGCAAAGCACAAATTGGTTAAAAACAACCGTATAAACTGGACATGCAGTACGTGCCTGTAGTCCCAGCTATTCAGGTTAAGGCAAGAACACTGCTTGAGCTCAGGAATTTGAGGCCAGCCTGGGCAACACAATGAGATGCTGTCTCTTTATAAAACAAAACAAGGGACAGGCGTGGTGGAATGCATCTGTAATCCTAGCTACTCAGGAGAATCATGGTTTGAGGCCAACCCAGGTAAAAAGATGGCGAGACGCCATCTCATCCAGTAAGCCAGGTGTGGTAGTGCTGTGATCCCAGGTACACAGGTGGCACAAGTAGGGAGATCACTCTCCAGGGCTGGCCTGGGGAAAGAGGTTCAAGTGGTAGAGTGCCTAGCAAGTGTGAAGCTCTGAATTCAAACTCCAGTACCAATGATGAATAAATGCATTAAATAAAATTAAGTAATAAATAAAAAAAAAATGACCGCTACACAAAGAAATTGGAACTTAAAGAAAGTTTAGTTGAATACCACATTTCTTATAAAAAAAATTACAAGACGTCATATCTACTTTATTTATGAAAGTAATATTTGAATTATAGCTGCTTCTCAACTTACAATGGGGTTACATCTTATGAACCCAGCATAAGTTGAAAATACTGCAAATTGAAAATGCACCTAATCCACTAACCTGTGAACATCACAGCAACACTTCCCTTGTGTGCCCTTTAGAGCGTGTACTGACAGGGAGCTGCAGCTCACTAAAATGGCACGAAGTCATGAGACAGCACTGTATCATCTATCACTAGCCCAGGAAAAGATCAACATTCAAAATTCAAAGTACAGTTTCTACTCAAAGTAATCCATTTTGCACCATCATAGAGCTGGAAAACTATTTATTTGGTTCTTTGTTTTTAAAAAAAAATGTAACTTACATGCAAAAATAAAATTTTTCCTCCTTGGAAACATCACAAAAAAAGTGCTAGCTCTGAAAGAAACTTCAAGAGTAGTTCTAGAAACGTCTGGAACAATGGTTACACCCTGGTATTCATCTCTACTGCTTCTCAAGACAACCAAATGTCCAAGGAAGTGACATTCAGTAAAGATCTTATATGTTTATTAAATCAATCACTATATTTTGTATGTAACCTTAATACACCTGACATAAACTTAAGTTATCTTATGTGTCATTTCTTTGTAGTCTGATTGACACATAACATTTGTACATATTTATAAGGTACAAAGTGATGCTTTGATTCGTGTATACATTGGGTATACATGAATCAACTCAGGTAATCAGCATATCAGTTACCTTAAACATTTATCATTTCTTTTAGGGTGGTGGTACTGGGGTTTGACAAGATAATTAGCATACTGTAGTACTGGGGTCTGAACTCTGGGCCTAACCCTTGCTAGGCAGGGGCTCAATCACTTGAACCATGCCCCCAGCCCCCTACCCCACCTTTTTTTTTTTTTTTTTTTTGCTTTACTAATTTTTCAGGCAAGGTCTTGTGAGTTTTAGGGGGTTTTCATTTGTTTTTTTTTAACCTGGGGCCTGCCTCAGACCACCATCATCCTTCCTACGGCCTTCTACAGAGCACATGCCGACACACCTGGCTTAACTGATTGAGATTGGGATCTGGCTAACATTTTTGCCAGAGCTGGCCTCCATAATCTTCCCAATTCCCACCCCCCAAATAGCTGGGGTTACAGGAGTAAGCCACAGTGCCTGACAACTTTAATCATCTCTTTATCGTTATGTTTTAAATTAAACTATATAATTAAGAATTGATTAATATATGAGCCTAATTTTCCTTTCTTTGAAACAGATTTAATGCTAATGCTGACTGATAAGCTATAATTAAAGTAATCTTTTTGGTCTCAAATTGAAACAACAACAATATATTTTAGAGGGCTGAAACCATGAAAAGTGCAACCATGGATAAGGGGAACCTATTGTAACGGCACACCAAATTTAGGCATGCACTTCCTATTTGCAAGACAGGAACTTTTCCATATTTCCCTATTCCCATGGACATGTCTGCAGATATGGTACCTTGTGGTTTGTGGCTGACAAATTCACAATATAGATTCCACTTTTAAATTTTATATTGTTTACATTTAAAGGGATATTATATGAAGAGCATGCGTGAGTCCAAAAAAGTACTTCGCTTTTTTAAACAACTATACTTAATTAAACTATACTTCAACTATACTTCAATTTAATTGTTTATACTAAACAATTAAACAACTATAGTTCAGGCCATCATTGTCAAAACATACTGAACTAAATTAAACTATTAGTAATTAATATCGTTTGGTACTGACCTTTCTCTACCAATTCTCTGCTCAACGGAAGATTCAAATGTCCTTGTCGTTTCGCTATCAAAAGAAGGTAAAAATCTTCATTAAGTATTTAATATCGTAACAGTCAATATATAGTAACATATATACATTATATAGCATGTTGTAATCATATTATAACATAATAGTTGTCTTGGTACTCACCAATATTTAAAACATCTTCTACAGCCTGAGTTGCAACCCTGTTAATATTGAATGACCTAGAAAGAAGAAAAATCATGTAATTCTTTGTTTTAATTTTAGAAGCGTCTTTGAAATGAAAAATGAATCTACTTAATATATAAAGAATTCTTAGAAATTATTAAGACAGTTATTAATGAACAGTTAAAACTGATTAGTAATATACTGGCACGGGTATGTGGGTATACTGTTAGAAATATAGAAGTTACAGCTCGAAAATAATTATGTGCTCTGCAGACTTAAAATGAACATATTCCTCAATCTAGCAATTTATCCTAAAATGCACTTCTACATATCATGCACAGAGACACATACCAGAAAATTTACTGAAGCATTGCTGATAATTGCACAACAGCTCAGATATATTCATAAGAGGCTGGTTAAATAAATTATATTATTGTACTCATTATGATATTAAAAAGAATAACTATAAATGCTGATATGGAAGGATAACCAAAATGTAAGTTAAAAACAAAAGGCAGAAATAATACATATATTAGTAGTAGAGATATGAAAGGGACACAGCTTTTCACTGTGTTACCATCTTGTACTTTTTAATATATGTACAATTCTTCAAATTATAAACAGTTCCCTTGAAGGTGAGAAATGCACACATATAACGCCTTCTTCAACCACTCAAAAACAATTATTAGCAAAAAATTGGATCACTTTTACAAATATTTCTGCTCTGCAGTCTATAAAGATCATTAAGAAAAGTTTTTAAAAAACTTCAATACTTAATAGAATTCTTCTACTGACACACAATTCCTGTTCCGTGGCCTCAATAGACAATCTCTGAACAGAAACAACACACTGAGCCAGCACAACTCTAAGCCTAAAGCACTGCCTCTCGATTCTTTTTGAATGGGAGTGGGAGTTATCCCCTATACTCTCACCTTTGGACAAATTCAAAAACACTTCAAACATTCTTTTAAGGAAAAATGCAAAAACAATTTTAGACTAAAAATTGGCTGTTTATAGGACAAATCCCTTAGCTTAAAATAGATGTATGTACACATACACGGACGCACATATATAAAATGGGCCAGGGATGGTGGCACATGTCTATAATCTCAGCTACTTAGGAGGCAGAGATGGAGGAAAGCAGTTTGCCAGCGGGGGCAAAAAGTCAGTGAGACCTCATCTCAAAAACAAGCCAGGCATGATTGTGTACAACACATGCCTGTAACTCTAGCTACTCAGGAGACAGAAGTAGGACCGTGCTCCAAAGCCAGCTCAGACAAAACCATGAGACCCTATCTAAAAAACAAACTAAAGCAAAGAGAGGGTGTGGCTCAAATGGAACAGCATTTGCCTAGCTCTGAGTTCAAACCCCAGTAAGCCAAATAAAAGTTTAAGGTGGCTATAACATGTTCCACAATCCGACCCTGCAATTTCACAATCCAACCAACTAAGCTCCTTCCTGCATCTGTACCTTTCCTCAGATTTATTATGCAATGCAAACTCTCTTATTGTTTAATATCTTGTTAGTTTTGCTGTTAATACACTATAAACCATAAGGCACTTAGGTTACTGGCTTATTGCAAGAACTCACCATTGAATGAAGATGTAAAAAGAAAGGGAGATGTATGAGTTAAATTTGACTTCCTCTGAATACCCACATTATTGGATGAAGATTGTTTAGGAATTCTTAAACTCAAATGTAACATAAAAATGAACTATTTTTATTAAGGTTCTATTGAATTAAAATATATGAAGGACATAAGATTTTAGAAACTAGTATCTGCTTACAGTAAAGACAATTTATAAGAACAAAGGTCTTATAAGAACTTAGTCTTATATTACTAAAACTGTGACTTATTAGTTAAGTCAAAAACCAACCCTAAAATCTTCTGGAGTCAGATTAAGATTTCCTGTGATTGTAAACTGGACCTCAGGCAATTCCCTCTACCTTGGTTACACTCTACATCAAGGGCAAACTAAATGCCTATACAAGTGTTGGCTTCGGCAATGACAACTTTTTTCTGATGTCTGCGACCTTCACCACTCTGCAAAACTTCCATCTGAAACCAGATATAACCACTATCAAAGATAACAACTTCAGAAGTCAAGTTGAGCATCTTCTTCATTAGCTACTACAGTTCCACCTCATGAAAGCATCTCCTCATCCTTAATGAAGTCTGGCAGGCAAAATAGATGAGGAGAAGGACTGGGAGCAGTCTTAAGAAAAAACTAACTGAAACATATGGTGTTTTTTGTTTCCATGAAGTCCAGAGTGGGCATTCCTAAATGACAGGTGACTCTCTTTCACGCAGCTATTCAGGGAGCCAAGCTCCTGCCATCTTGTGACCCTGCTATCTGCTAAACATGGCTCTAAGGTTGCTGTGCTCATTTACATAAAACACAGAAGGAAGAAGACTGTGGGGTATCCCCATGGGAGACTGGTGAACTGTGCTTAGTGTTGTCCATCATATCCACTCTAATTCTTTCACCTAGAACTCAGTCACAAGGCTATATGTATGGGAACAGGGGCCATAGTTGCCAGAGGACTGAAATTATAATGGAACAAATTAGAGGCACTGATACTTTCTAGTTGTGTGACTTGATCAAAATATTTATCCTTGCTAAGCCTTAACTTCTTCCTTTATAAAAAGGGTATCTACTATATCCTTTCAGAATTTCTATAAGGATCAATGTATGAGAAGTGTCTAGGATGGTATTAAGTAGCAAGAACTAAATAACTGATAGCTTGTATCATAATGTATCAGAACATAAACAGAAGTTCAGAAGATAAAGTAACACTATTACATCTGTTAGGTTTCCCCTATCTTCCAGATGAGAAAACTTGTGCACAGTTGTAAAGCTAGTCAGTGACTTAGCCAGCCCTCCTAACTCCCAGGCAGTACCCTTCAATTGTGTGACTATGCTCATTCTTATGGATGAGATCAGGGGAAAGAAGAGGGCAAGAATCTGGAGAACTATTCATAATTGTCATTCCAGTTTTCAACAAGTAGCATACCATGCTCAGTAGGAAAGACGCCGTCATGAAAGATGAATGCTGTTAATTGTAATGTTTCTGATTTAGTCTGTAAGATAGTTATAAAATAATTTTATAACGTCAATTGTTAGATTTATTTCTTAAACAATTATTGGAAAAGTCATTAGCCCTCAGGAAAATGAAACGTGAACCTATCTTTTAAAATAATTCTCATTTGGCTTGCCCAGCATGGACAACGTCCTGAGTTCAAACCCCAGCAGTACAAGAAAAAAAATCATTTTTTCCAAAATATAAGACTAAGCTTTAAAAATAAAAGATGTAAAGTTACTCAATATTTATTAATGAAATGATATGATGTCTGAAAACTACTTCAAAACAATACAGGACAAAGAAGGTGGGTAAGGTTAGTATACTGCAGAAATAAGATTAGGCCCGAGTTGGTAAGTACTGACCTTCCTAATGAGTACATGGAGATTCATTACACTATTTTGTCTACTTTTTTACAAACTAAAATGTTTCCACAACAAAAAGTCATGCTGAAAGGAAATAACATTTAAATTATTCAAGTTTAACATCATAGTTTTGGGGGCTTTTTAAAGACAAGGTCTCGCTATTCACCATCCTCCTGCCTCAATTTCCTGTGCTAGAATTGCAGGTATGTCACCAAACCCAGATAAAAATCACTTTTATACATACTGTTCTTGCTATTTCTATGAGCATGTAGTGTTTCCTTCAAAAAATTATTTGCATGAATAGATATCAGGTACTGTGTATGCATACAAAATTAAGCAGGGGAAAAAAAACACTAGTCACAATCTTAAATTCCTTAAGTTGGTCAAACTAATCTAGTACTAACATAACTAACAGGTACTATATAGTATTATGAGAAAAGTTTTGGGGAAGGACAAAAGGGGGATTAATTCATTGTGCTTATGAATGGAAGAGAGCATTAATGAAGAAAATTAATAAAGAAAATGGCATTTGAAAACTGGAATTTTTAGCTATTGGATAGAAAGTGGAGAGTGTTCAGACATTCAAAGCAGGAATAAGTTACAATGAACAAAAACAAAAAGCCATGAGAGAACAAGGCATGTGCTGAGAATTGCAAGTAGCCAATGGTGTCTCTACTATCCAGTAAGAGATACCCATGGCCATATTTGACAGACCTTACATGGAGGACTAAATGAAATGATTAGTCAGAGGTCAATAAACGTTTTAAGGCAAAGAACAGTCAGACTTATCTATGCTTAAGAAATATTTACTCTGTTGGTACAATACAGATGACAACCAGAAGAATAAAAATTGAGGCACAAAGAATATCCACAAAAAAGACAGGGACCTGAACCAAAGCAGCAGCAGGAGAAACTAAGAAAGGTAGATAAAGACTTGAAAAGTGCAATGCACAGGACTTAAGAGTCTAAGCTATATGGAAGGCAAAATGAAGAAGACTGAAAGATAAGAGGGAGGTTTTAAGCAGTAATGTTTTTCCTTTAGAGCATCGAGTCTGGGTAATTAGTGATATTATTAAGCAGTGTAGGGAATATGGGGGAAAAAACAAGTTCAGTTTTAAATGTTTTGAAAATGATGTGATATTGACATCCTATCCAGCAGGTAACTTTAGAATATGAGCTTGGACTCAGGAGAAAAGACAATTACAGATATGCATGCATCTGCATCAGGTATATGTACTAAAAAGAAGAAAGACTACCCACAGGGAGGTTACAGAGAATACAGGGAGCCCGGCTGAGTCCAGTTAGGCCTTTAAGGTACAAATTTTCAGCCTTTTTGTATTATACTTTGAGTTGATCATTTCTTCACTATTTATAATATTCTTTACTTCCAAAAAGCAATACAGTCTCCCAAACAACTTCTCATTTCCTATCTTTTCAGACCTAGTGCATTAGACTCAATAATGATAAAATAATGCCCAAATCCAAGCTATAGTTGCAATCCAAGAAGTCAAGGTGGTCCTACTAGACCCAATGGATGACAAAGCAGAACCTGATAAACAACATCACAAGTTACTCACCAGGCTTTTGATCCTGTTCCTGTACACAAATTGAGCCCAGAACTCTTCTGTTTTTCCCATGGGCCGTCATCAACTGAAATTTCATAGTAGGAAGCCCTATAAATTGAGAATATAAAACTGTTTGCTGAGCTTATGGTTCATAGTAAATAAAACAAATATAGTCTTCAGGATTATGAAATCTAAGTCAACTTGACCAAGAAATATCTGACTTAGTAGGCACACAAATCATGGTCCTAATTCTAATGCCAATTAAGTAGAAAAGTTAGAAGGAAAAAATTTGTGCATGTCTGCACACCTTTCTTCTCTATATTCTCCTTTCTATTGATACTTTAGCATTTCAAGCAGGAGCCTTTTTGCTAGCATTGCTGCTACTTCTTTTATGGACTGTAACACAGAGCTTCATTTCAAAATGAAAAATACCATTCTTAGGTAAGTTTCATTTCTGGTAGATAGTCCTTAATATATTCAAATCTGTATCTAATTCTTTGTGTTACCAATAGTTTCTGCTAAACTCTTGTTTCTTAAGTTATAAGCTAATGTACCTTTTGAATTGGTAGCAAGTTAAAAGATAACAAAGTTGTATAGAAAATTCTCAACCAATTCTAAATTAGTGGACAAAACCTGGAATAAAATTAGAACTAATTTCTTGAAAGATTTACATTTCTTAAAATACTTCATAAATAATCAAATGGATTTTCTGACACCAGCAAAAAGGACACTATAACTCACTGAATGTGTAAATCATTAATAACTATTCAAAGAACTTCTGAAATACATAAAAGCCTACTTTGTAGACTATCTTAAAATAATGGTGTCACTGAATAACACTGCTTATTTTTTCAGCCAATGAAAAAGTTAAAATAAAATCCTTAATACAACACAGGTGTTCAAAATAATGACAATTATTAGACATGCCTGCAAACACTAATACTCTATGAATAATTTATCTCTTATTGTAACCCTTTCAACTTTACTTGCAAACTCTTAATTTGTAAAGATTTCATTTTTTTCTCTGAAGTTAGTATTGCTCATACAAATAAAAGATAGTAGACCTGATATTCACATTTAATCTATTTCATAGCTTAGTTATATCTTCCTAGAAAATGCACATTTGGAGACTATAATGTACAAACAAGCCAGCAAATCCACAGAAATGCCTGCTACTCTGCCAGAATCAAGCAGAGAAAAAGATTAGCGTAAGTGGGGGTGGGGAAAAGAGAAGCAGAAGTGGATAGGAAGAAAAGTAGAGTCAGGTGAAAGATGTTGAGCCCAAAAACTATGAGCAAATTTAGTGTCATTCTCACATGCAGGTTCATTGAGATTAGTCAATTCACAGATTTTTTGGTTTTGGGGAAATTATTTTTTAAGGCAGCAATAAAACTCACAGTCCCTTTAGAGTGGGTACACTTCTTCTTAAATTGTCCACTGCTACAGCCCAAGAATAAGACATTCTAGGTTAGAACAAATAGGAGAAAAGAAAAAAAAAATTGGGCTTTTAAAATGTTCTTAAATCTAAGAACATTATAAATGAGGCAGGAATAATATTGCTGCACTTCGTATTTTCCAAGCAAAGCTCTTCAGTTTCTGGAGCATAGTGAAGTGTCAACACAGGGTCCAGAATCAGAAATAATGGGCTTATCCACAGTTCTGATGCTACCTAGTTACACGATGTGGGCAAGTTATTTGAACCCTGTATATCTCAACTCTTTCAAATATGATTACCTTTCTTATAATTTGCTGTAAGCATTAAATGAAATAATATACACAATATTCACAGCTTGACACAGAGCAGGCATTCTATAAGTGCTCATTTTCTTTCTGTCAAAGGTCTTACAATCATGGAAATCTTTAAAAGTAAATTCTAGTACTTCCACAATAGTTAAATTAGGTTCAACAGCATCAAAAACCAAACCACTGTGGGTCTTATCTTAGTAAGATAAAAGATGAGACATCAAAGAACAAAAAAAGAAGCAACATCAGACATCACCATTTGGGACTTCACTGAATCCCCAGGAGTCTGCATCTAGTCCCAGTTTTCCTCCTACTACAAGTTATTTAATGTTTTAGTAAATACAAAGTATAAAGCAGTGCTAGTAGAAGCTCTCAGTTAATCATACAACCTTTACAATATACAAACAGAATAAAATAAGCCATAAATGGGTTGCCTAGGGTAAACAAACTCCCAAGACATTTTACCTTTGTCATCTATTAAATTTAATGGACTTTCTCCAATCTTGCTTATAGTTGTTGCTCTCCTCTGTCTTATGTCTTTGGCAGTAAGAACTAGACTATATCTCTAATTAGTTTCACTTTCCTCTCTTCTATCACATAGTAGAGCCTACTACTCATTTCCATATTGCTTCAAACTTGATATCCAGCAAAAGAAAAACCTTTAAGTACAGGATATCTTATGTTAAATACATTTTTACAATGTAGTATATTTTTTAGTTGTCTTTATTTCTTTGAATAGAATTTTACTTTTAACATTTGTAAAAATTATGTTATTACACCCTTCAAAAATTAAGATATTACTACCTTCATCTTACTCATCTCTGTATCCCTATTTTCACACATTATACATATCAGGTATACCATATACTTTTATTAAATATATTCAATATTATATACAAAATAATTATAATTCACAAAGATCATTCAAATAATTCTGCTGAATTAGGCTTCATTCTTTTTAATACAGCCCAAGTTGATTATAAAACTTTATTTACTACTGGCTAAAATGTGCATTCTTTTTTACATAAGACAAATTTTCTCACCATAATTAAACTCCTTATGAAAGGATGTAAGTTGCGACAAACAAGATTACTAAAAGTTCCAGAAGTTCAGAAAACTAGGGAATCGATTATATGACTTCCAAAGATCACATGGTTCTCGCAGCAGGAAAGTGGGACATAAAATTCACTTCCAGTCTTCTACCCATAACTTAGGTACATTTACAAAAATGGGAAGCTCTAAAGTATGAGTGAGAGTTAAATTAACTACATTTCGGTATTCATTTTATATCTGTTAACTATGTTACACAAAAAATTTTGCCAAAAACATTGTTGCCAACTTTGGCCCAAGTTATATTTAATCACATAAAACAGATTTTTATTAGTCAGTGCTACATTTTTATACTCCAAATGATTAGAATCTTGAACTGTCAATACATTTGCCTTATGATGTGGCACTAAAAAGGCACATCACCACCTATGTAGTAGCATTCTGTCAAAATGCCTACTCTGAATCTTAAGCAATGTAAGAAAAATCATACAAATATAAAATAAATGATATTCTGCAAACAAATTGGCTTAGATTATCCCAAAGTATTACTATCATTAATGACAAAACAGGGGTGGGGTAGGCCTATAGAACTATTCTTAAAGGACCACAATGGCCAAATGCAACCTGTGATTCTTAATTAAATCCTACATAAAAACAACCAAACAAACAAACCAATTAAAAGGATTCTAAGATAGTAAACAAAGAGCTTCTTTTATTTCCCTTTTTTTCCTGAGACCATGGCCCACTGTGTTGCCTACTCTGACCTAGAATATCTGGGCTCTAGCAATCCTCCTGCCTCCCACATAGCAGGGACTACAGACATACCCACTACACTCGGCTCTACTGCACAAATTTTAATATGGGCTGTCTCTAAGTTTTATATTAATTGCATATGTACACCTAGTATATCAGTCCCCTAAACATTTATAAAGCACCTACACAATAAGAGCACTGGAAAGTAGTACAGTAAAGAAACCTGAATAACTTTTTTTTGGTGGGACTGGGGTTTGACCTCAGGGCTTCACGCTTACAAAGCAGGCACTCTACCACTTGAGACTTGCCTCCAGCCCCAGAAATCTAAATAACTTTTAATATAGGGTTTCACACTTTTTTCAGTACAGAATGTTCTTTTCTCTTAATATGTGTTGGCACATATGATGGAATTGGAAATAATTTCTACACATACCTGAGCCAAGTTGTAGTAATTAAATAAATAGCTTAAAGTACTAAAACATTAAATTCCACACTCAAGATCAAGATCACAAGCTACCTGGAAGACAGACTCTCTCCAATGAAGACTTCATTTAGTGCTCTCACTGGCAAAAGCTGGGGTCCTGAAGCCTCAGACCCTGCAGAAATAGGGGGGAAAAATCCAAGACAGCGCCTTAAATTTGAGAAATGACCTTCAAAATCTGTGTGAGATTATAAATATTGATGTTTACAATGCTAAATTTGGGGGTAATTTATTATGCAGCAATAGAGACCTAATACATATTAGATACTGAATATACTAAACCACCACTGTCACCAGCATAAGCACTGATCTTCTCCCCTGACTTGGTAGCATGATTATGTTCTTCTGTTCACACATTTGCTAAATTGAACATTACATTTTCCCCATTTCTTCTGGATTATTATTTCCTAAAGGAAACAACCATTCTTTCAAATATAAAAGTTCCTATTATAATTAACAAGAATCTGCTGAGCACTTGTTATTTGCCTAAATTATCAGATCAAGCTCATAACAGACAGTAGAAACAGCTTGACACACAAAGCTATATAAAAAAGATTTTTGTGGTAGAGCACCTTCCTAGCAAGCATGAGGCCCTGAATTCAAACTCCAGTACCACCAAAACTAAAAAAGGAAATTTCAAAAAAAAAGATTTTATGTTTAATCAAATGTAATTGCATTTAAAACTGTAAAATGGACTAACTGTAGAAACTATCTTCATTTGCTACTAGATATACCCAATCTCAGGACAATAGTTTAACAAACATAAAAGAACTATATAATTTATTTAAATTATTTTCCTTAAAATAAGGAGATTAGTGAGTTTGTTTTAGAATCTATCTCCATGGAATTTTCTGTAACTGTTCAATAGTGGGCACTCACTAAATATTAATAAATCTGAACTCTATCAAACAAAAAATACATGTAAACATGTATTTTTCTTTTATATATTCTTCATTTTCGACTTCTACCCCCATTTTTCCTAATTACATTTTTAATGTGTGTTTATTGAATTTCATCTCAAAACTCTTATCACATGAGAAAGAGATCTGCTTCAAATCTCATTCATCTTAATCCTGCTTATATTTTCTTTCATGCTAACTGATCACCAAACTTCACCTATTGCTTCAATAAGACATTAAAAGATATTTAACTCAGTATTAATTAACAATTTTCCATCCAAGAAAATGGATCACACAGTTATAATTAGTATTTTTAAATACAGAATTGTTAAACTAGTGATAGACACTGCTACACTGTATCATTCTCTCACATCCTCATATTGCTAGATGTTATTTTCAGGTCTACTTGCACTGGGTAGAGCCATATGACTGATGGTGGTCAACCCATTACCAGTCCATTTCTAGGCAAAAGTAATGAAACAGCCTGGCTCCTAAAACTTCCTTAAGATCCTCCATGCTCTCTGTATCTACTACCTACCTACATAAGACTCAGAGGCCTTAGAATATGGCAAGACCCATATAGAAGGGCCCAGGGCTGCCTGAAAGCCCCCCTGGACACTGAGATGAGCTAGAAATAAATCTTTATTATATTAAGATGCTGATATATCTGTAACTGCTTATCAAACCAATTCACTTCACAATATGATTGTATTCTTGCAAATAAGAATTACAAGTTCGTATCATTAAAATTTAAAAGGAAAATAAATAAACCCACCTTCCCCTTTTGAAGGTATTTTAATACAAATGAATTCTTCTTTACAATTTATACACAAATACATCCTAGAGAAGGATAGGCTATACTATATAAGGTAGAAATTTTCATTTCTTTAAAGTTTAAGTTGAAAGAGTTTTTTTAAACTTTTTCTCTCATCTTTTGTTCTAAATTAGAAAGTTAAATAAGGGATCAAACTTGGTAATGTATTTATAATCTCAAACATACTCCTATATTCAAGACTCTCCAATGGAAGCCTACTAGGAAACGTTTCCTGCAAACTTGCAATGGTTCTGAACTTTTTTTCTCAGAAAAATGAAGCTATCCAAAAAAAAAAAAAACTTAACAAAAAAAGCGCTCTAAGAATAGTACCTAAACATAGTGTAAATACCACATAATTGAACAGTAATAACAGTAATATAATAATTACAATAATAGCAATGTCCAGCATTGCTATGGAGAAATCTGAAACTATCCTGATTCCAGATCCTTTATTATCAAATAAACTCCTTGAATCACCACCACTATCACTTCCTCCTTCCTTGAAGTTTCATCTCTAGAATTCTGACATGCCTTGGTTTGGAACCCACTGCCCCTAATTAAGCTAAACACATGTGGATCCTTTCAATTCAGATTATTGCCTAAATATTCTTTCATTATTGTTTTGAACATTTGTTCTGTTCTTTTTCTACAACTACCATTAATCAGATATGATCACCTTGAGTATAAAACCATTGTTTACTATGTGTATAGGTTTTGTTTTTTTATATAACTCTTGTATACCAATCTATAGCTTTCCTAAAATTATAAGGTGCTGATGAAAACAATTAATTTACTGTCTTTTTTTTTTGGACATTTCCAAGATTAAGAACTAGTATCTTTCATTAAACATTGACTACCCTGTCAGGTACTTTAAAATCCCTCCCTAATCAAGTAATTTTCTAACCTGTCGTGTCAAAACAGTTCTAGATAGATACTATATTTCTTACTTTGGATTCTAATTATAATAAATTTTATCAAAAAGTAGTTCGCTGTACCTTAAGTGTTGTTAGTGGCATTAAAAATAAGTTAACTATGAATTATTGCCTAAAAAAATTAGAGGTCAAAGGAACTAAAAGTTAAGAATTGACCCAAACACTAATTCCAATTCCCAATTTACCTACTTTCATCATCAACCCTTTCAATGTTGAAGGCTCGACTATGCTGATTCAAACTTAGTTGCTGTTCATGAAGATCCACAGGAATGGGGTTTATGCCGGTCCCTTCAAGGCACAGCCTGATACGCTGCCTCCACAGCCACCTTAGAAAAGTGAACAAAAGTTAGGCTGAAACAGAGCGCACTAAAGATTAGACATTATGACAGTTTCGCCAGCTTAAAAATGTGTACTACAAAGCTACATATCCATGTGGAAATACACCGAAAAGCCCTAAAACTCACAGGCGTCTGCTCAAAGACAGATTTCAGTATTTCTCTTTTCAGTTATAGTGGAAATATCTAACATATCTATACAAAATCTCCCAAGTAGTTTGAATTAAAGTTAAACTCTTTATCAAGAGCCCATTAAGTCCAAAATATTGAGCTACATCTAAGCTTTTATCTTGTTCACCAAAAAAAATTATGCAAAAAAAGAAGGTACTGTGGTAATAAAAATAGTATCGTGCTAGAATTGTGCATGCTTTGCAAGTGAGAAGCCCCGAGTTCAAACCCCAGTCCCACCCAAAAAAAAAAGTATGTTCAGGGGGCTGGATTAAATAAAAATCCCCTAAATTTTATAATGATGCATTTTTTTAAATAATAAAAGCAAAAACAGATTATGTAAAAAAAGAAAAGTTATCATACCTACAGATTAAGTGGTATTTTTGTAAAAGCAAAGAAAAAATGAATAGTGTTTAATTGATTTCAAAAACCAATACTGATGTATAAAAAGCTAAGGGACAGATTTTGACAGATAAGTATAAAAAAAAAAACACATTCCCACTTGGTGATCATAAGTTAGTCACTTCTAAAGGTGCCAAACTTCTGAAATGACTGGAATCACTGGTAATTAAGTGGTTCTAGAGAAGTCAAAATTTTTGCAGTGCAGCTGAGTAAGAATAATATCTTATGTTCTATAACATAAGTTAACTATAACTGACAACAACTTAGTATTTCAAAATAGCTAGTAGAGAGGACTTTTTTAAACATTCACAATGCAGAAATGAATAAATAGGCCAATTACCCTGATCTGATCACTATACATTGTATGCATGTATTGAAAAGTAACACTGTATCCCATAAATTTGTGCCAATTAAAACTAAAAATATACTTTTTTAAAATATATATATTTATATATATATAAAATATACTTTTTTAACACAAATATCTGGGATAGCCAATTACATATGGCTCTACCATATCCCAACTTCTCCCTCCACTTGCCTCTTTTTAATGACAGTCTGATCCCTGAACAGATTAAGTGCAACAAACATTTTTTTTTTAAAAATCCCATCCCCCACTGCATAAGATAGACTTCACGTGTAAAACCAAGATATCTAGAATCTCAGCATGGCTGGACTCATCATTTCCAGAATTATAAAATTTCAGAATTTGAACCCTCAATTTAGCAAACACCTTTAACTATCTTTCTATCTAACAGCTAAGAACATGTAGCAAGGCTAAGAAAGTATCCTATCTCACTGAAGAATAAAAGCCTCCATTTGCAATTATAGGCCAAGTAACATTGTCAAGTCTTCTTTACCTACTTCCAACTAGACCAGGAGAAGATAAGGCAGATATGTCTGTGATTCGGCTAATGTGTTACTTTTATGGCTATTGTTATAAATATACAGTAACCCAAATATTATCAGATTCTTCTGTTTTAGCAGCATTAATGGCATATACTTACTAAAACATAAAATAAGAACAACAGTAAGAAATTCCTACCTGAACTCACCACAATAGAACTTCTGTAAGGCTTCTGGGAAGGAATGTGTATACCGAACAGGCAGACACAAATGACCCTCAGACCTTTGTTTTAAAAGAGAGTTTTGGGTGGTGAAAAGGGGAGAAGAAAAATGGTTGAGAGGGAAATATAATTCAAAGAGTATCACTAAACTATAAAAATCAGATTTGAAATTTTCAAAATTTCTACTCTCTATATCATCTTTGCCACAAAATTATACATACTTCCAATAAGAACAAAAAAACCCAATTAAATAGAAGCAGTCCACATTCAGCTTTAATGCAATGACAGAGAATTATACTTAAGTTTCCACATTATGGTGAAGCCAAAAATAATAGAAAATCTTCTACTGATTACCATGTAAAGTTATCCAATGGTATAGTGGAATGCTTGCATCTTACTTTAAATTACTTAACTTTTAACTTCATTGTAGTATCAGTTGCCTTATTTTTAAAATTGTGACTAAACCACCAAATCACAAAAGCTTATTCTGAAGAATCAAACATAATCCCTTTTAAAGTATCATTTAAGATACCCTTAAATGAAAAGAGAACTGAGAAAGCTTAATCCAATATAATCTTTCACTTATTCAAAACCATATATAAGGATGAACTCCTTTGAGTAGTTCACAGCTTGATGTAGAAAACAAATTAAGACAAATAATTGCAAATAACAAGGTGCCAAGATTCTCTATAAACTGCTATAGGAAAATGAGAACATATGGCCCTTAATGACGTCCAGAAAACTTCATAATTATCATTTATTATGATGTTTTAATATGGAAGGAATGGCTAAGAGCAGGTCTGGCAAAACAAACTCCTGATAATGAATGTAATGAGCAGAGAAAAAGGTTTTGCAAAGTTGTGACTAGCCAATTTCATTATTTAAGAGAGTCAATAAGATGTAGCCCAGGCTGGCCTCAAACTCTAGATCCTCCTGCCTCAGCCTCCTGAGTGCTGGGATTAGAGGCAGGAGCCACCATACCAAGCCAAGCCTCTTAAGTTTTTTTCATTTTGAGATTGACTATAATACTTAAACACTGTAAGTGCATAAAATATGTCAACCATCATTTAATAAAATAATGCCTTCTAAGGTCAACTGCAGTGTAAAGCATTGTGACGAGAAGGATCCTTCATGACGTTATAGTCATTATCGCCTTGGGCTATGCAAAAGACCTGACTTGGACTACTAGATCTATTTCCAAGGTTGCTCAAGGCTGGCAAATCAGTGCTGGCTATTGGCAGAAGACCTCAATTCCTCTCCATGTGAGCATCTCCATAGGGCTGCTTGACCAACCTCACATCATGGTGAGTGACTCACCCCAGAATAAACAATCCAAAAGAAGAATACCAAAGCTGAAATATACCATTTATGACCTGGCCTTGAAATTCTCAAACTGTCACACCATGTTCTGTTGGTCCCATAGGCCAGCCATAATTTTAAAATGGGGGGTGTGGGAGGTAGGAAGCTACATAAGGGTGTAATACTAGCTAGAAGGCTACCTTGAGGCCGGCTACCAGAGGCCTGTATCCATTTTGAACATGAAGCACTCAAATGTTATTTAAGAGGCTCAGTAGAGTAGGTGGAGAACGCAGAGAGGCAGACTGAAGTGAAGTGCTGAATTTGGAGAGTCCATGTGAGCGAGCCATCTTGGAAACACGCTGCAACCCAAGCGAAGCCCCCAGATGCCTGCAGCCCCAACTGACACCTGACTACCACTCCAAGAAAGATTCATTCCAAGCCAAGTCCACCCAGCTGCTCCTCAACTCCTGACACAAAGAAACCACAAAAAACACTACCTATTATTATTTCACAAGAAATAACTCTTTCAAGCCTCTATATTTTGGAGTGATTCATTCTACATTTGATAATAGAGAAGAAAAGACATTGAAGCTAAACATTAACATCCAACTTTTTTTTAAGGATTACAGACACCACAGTGCTACCTAAGAAAAAGACAAGCAAGTTGAGGCAGACATATAAGGAGACCTAATAAGTCTGCCTGAGACAAAAGAAAACAAAACACTTCTAAAATCTACTATTCTAAATGGAAAACAGGGAGAATACCCTCTGCTCACCAGTTTCAAAATCCCCACAATGAACATTAAGCCAGCTTTTTAAAGGAAAATGTAGTTCAATAAACTATAAATCACTAAAGTTAAGAATGTCTTCTCTTCATGATATAAAAATAGGCTATTAAGAAGTTCTGAGGACTGGCAGAGTGGTACAAGTGGTACAGTGCCTGCCTGGCAAGCATTAGGCCTAGTACTGCAAAAAAAAAAAAGGTTCTAAACTCACATTTTGAAGGCAATCAAAATCTAGATACTGAATCAATGATCTCAATTACTTACACATAGAATATTTACTCAGTTAGGTTGAAGTCCTAGGCCTGCTCCCTAAGATAATTTAATCAATCACTCATTTTTCAAATATTTATTGCTTATCAACTATAAATAAAACTATGCCAGGAGTAGAAAAGTTAAAATACAAGGTCTTATACTCAAAGAATTGATAGTCTCACTGAAGAGACAAATAAGGAGAGAATAACATGAAGGGAAAAGTGCTCTCTGTACAGGAGGTACAGCCAGAGCCCAGGAGAGGCACCAGAGTCTCAGATGAACAAAAGAACTATAGCAACGAATTTTTAACTCCATCTTGAAGGGAGGGCTGAGGGTAGACTTGGCAAGAGCACAGGGGCACTCTTGGAAAGCACATAAAGCATGAGAAAACATGGGCATTCTGGAAAACTTTCATTTACTTCTTCAAGTCATACACTGTCTTATGTATCAACAAAGGCTCTCACCAGAGCATAAGCATCCCTGAGTGAGTCTCCAGCCACAGTGTCAGCATATGCTCAGTGACATTTTGCACTAAGTGTTTAAGAAACTAGGATGTTCCTAAAAGGGTTTCAAAATATGTTTTTTTAGCTACAGAATGCAGTGTGTATATGAGAATGGATGAACTAGAAGAGCAGATGAGCAGATAAGCAACAGATGGTGAAAGATCACATATATTTAACTAAGGGCTTTTCAATGTATCCTGATGATCATAGGGAAATCCTAAAAGATTTTAATTAAGGAGTGACTACAATCAAACTTGTACTTTAGAAAGTATAATGGGCTAGAAGGGAAAAGACTAGAAGTTATTGCAATAATTTAAACAACAAATATTTATTAAGGCCTGAGCTACATTTAGTGGTAGTGAAAATGGCAAGAGATGGACTCAAAGGTAGAATTCCTAGAACTTAGGATCAGTTGGATGATGGGGTCAGAAGTAGTCACACCTTCAGCATTAGTGATCATTCCACTCATTGAGAATGATGAAGAAAAAAGAAATCATTTGTAGACATATTGTCTTTTTAATAGATCTAAATAAAGGCCAATGTGTAAGAATAGCATGGAGGAAGTAAAGACTAATAGGAGACAAGGACAGAAAGTAGTCAAGGCCAGATAATGCAGAGCCTTATTAAGTTATAATGAAGGTGACCAACTGTCCTCTAGTTTGCCTGGAGCTGAAAATTTCCTGATGTAAGATTTTCAGTGCTAAAATTAGAAAAGTCACAGAAAAAGCAGGATGAGTTGGTCATTCTAATCATAGTAAAGAATTAAATTTTATTCTAAGTTAGATGGGCATTACCATAAGATTCTGAGCAGTTATATTATTATCACTGGTTACAGTGAGGAGAAGAGATTAAGGGTAAGAATGAAGAAGATGGTATAGAGAATGAAAGAGAAAAAAGATAACCTAGTATATAATATGTAAAACCACCAGAATTAAGCAGTGACCAAAAAGCTAGGTTCTTCTAAAGAGATTTAAAAAAAAAAGTACGCATAGAGATAGAAAGAAAAAGATGTCATAAATGTTAATGCAACACAGATACAATAAGGAAGTGGTAGCACTAAAACCTCCCAGAAATCAAGTAACACAAGGACTAAAATGTCCAGAGATTCAGTAACTAGGATTACCACCAGTCTATAAGGCAAAACCGGAATCAATGAACTGTTTAGGGGCAAATCCAGAAATGAATACAAAGGTTTGCCAGTACTGGGAATTGATGAAGTAAAAATACCAAGCTTCTTAGGGTTAAAGGGAAAGAAAAGAGAGAAAGAGAGAGAGAGTAACGGATTTATCAAATATTCTTGAAAGATAGGAGTCTTCATGCAAAGAAGAGAGAAAAAAGTAATGAATGACAGACAAGATTTTTTTAAGTGGGAGAAAAGTTGAAGAAGTTATAATCCAGTGACTTTCATTTCCTCTGTAAGGAGCAAGAAGGGCTTACTAAAAGAAGAAGGCAGAGATGCAAGCAGTATACAAATAGCCACACTTGAAATAGCCTCCACAGGGAATGAGGAAGAAAGATAAGAGGGCTACAAAGTGTATGGACAACATTAAGAAACTGTTCTAAGTGCTAGCAACCTCAAATTGGAAGTGCTACAAAGCCCAAGTTTCCAATTATTTTTTCCCCCAGAATGACCTTCTCAAAAATGACATGAGTAAAAGAATGATAGTCAAACTGACCTGGGATTAACAGAGGATAATGATTTTAAAATATATATGAAACCATCAAGGAAACAAATGAAGGATAATTAAGTAAAGGGAATAGAGGGAATTTAAGCAGTCTAACTCAAAGGGCAGATTTAGTGGGATGAGAGAATAAGACTGCTGTTAAGGTAGGAGACTGTAGTCAGGGTGAAACTGAGGTTATACAGATGAAGAAATTCCAGATGATTATAAAGTCCAGGTATGGTCATGGCTATGAATGGTTAGAATAAAGTTAGGGTAACTGTCAGTGAAGCTAGGGAAGAAAGAAACAATAGTGTATTTAATAGATCTGTTTATTAAGTCAATGAAGCAATGAAGTCACCCCAGAAAAAGCAGTGCAGGCCTAACCAGGAATATAAATGAGACCCAGGAAAAAAAGGGTAAAAGATGGATCATTTTAACTCATCTTTCTTCAATAACACGAAAGATCCCAAAAATTCATGTGGTCAAGGGGTCAGGTCATGTGGTCAAGGGGTAGGTCTGCCACAGATCCTATCCCCAAACTGCCTGGGAAGCTAAACGTGAGGACTGTCCCATCCCGTTAATGCGAGCAAAATACTTCTACATTTCTATGCCTGAACTAAAAACTAGAGCTGTCCCTGAAAACAACTATATTGAAGACAACTATAATAAAGGTAGTATTAACTCTACATGCTTAAATGTCATCACTAAATTGTTTTTGGAACACAGTTCTAACATTCATGATAGCCAGAAACAATTAATGCTTCCACTTAAATGTCATATACCACAGTAAAATCCTGTAGCAACAGAGGCCAACAATGTGACTACAGTAGGCAAAAGAAAGAGTTTCCAAATTTTAAGGTTTATCATAGACACTATATAAAGCAATAGAACTGCCTGTATGTATAACATACCAAAAAAAAAGAAAAAACCTCACAAATAACATGCTTTTCCTTACCGTTCTGGATCAGTGTTTACCCCTATAACTGGTTTAAGTCTGTCCAAGACTTTACTTGCTGCCAGAAGCATTGTGCCATCACCTACAGGGCATAGAACAAAGCATAACACATAACCAGACTTCTGTTTTAAAACCAGATTTATCATCATTTTGAAAACTAGTACTTTTAAGAATCACACTACTCCCTGCTGACTGCCAAAGCCCCTGCCCCCTCTTCCTACTGTGTCTTTGTATCACCTACGCCACTACAATCCAGGATTGACATCTTGGGCAGCAAATGGACAGGAGGGCTGTCCTGTCCATTACAGAATATGCAGTGGCATCTCTGGTCTCTATCAGGCGACAGTAATGCCACTGAATTTAGGTATAGTTTTGTAAAGTTGGAAACCACTGCTTTAGTCCCCAAACTTTTCTTTTATAACATCAGTCCAAATTCATGTTATTTTAGTAAGAATATATTCAACCATGCCCAACTTGAGACTTTTTTCTCTCCAACAACTTCTGCCAATTTAAAGATTTAGAAAGAATAGTCACTAATAACAAGAAAGCTCAGGGGAAAAAAGTAAGTGCAAAGACTTAAGGACCAAAGAGGGATGGAAGTTAATATCACTAAACTAGCTTTTTAAATTAAGACTGGCATAATTAAACCAAAATACATTACAACCAATCCTTTGAATTATATTTCAAATTAAAAGCATACCTTAAATATACACAGAGAAATATACACATGGAACCTCACAGAATCATTCAGTATAAATGCAACAGATCTGTTTTAAAACTAATCCTAAAACTCCAAAGGTCTGCATTCTGGTGGGACTCTGAAAGCCTCAGGAGATACTGAGTACTGAGGAGCATTTCCATATCCCAACATCTGTATCTCTATAAAACAATTACCTCCTGCAGCTATGACAGCATCTGCCCATTGAACAGTCTCTTCGTCATAGTCTCTCCTCTTTACTAGACGAACCTCAATTCCCTCTTTCCTAAGATTAAAAAGCAAATGATATATAAAACATACACAGATAACACATATTTAATAAGGGTATGTTTTCTGAGATGCAGATTACAATAGAAATGTAAAACAAATTTACGTTGCATAAACAATTTTAGCTGTAAATTTATAAAATTACTTTCATTTTCACTTAGTTATAACAGACAGATCAGGAAGCAAATGAGTAAGTTAAAAGTTAATGACTACCCAAGTTTCCATTTGCTTTAAAAACATCTGTATAACCACTAACAAACAGCAATATTGATTGGTCAGAATTTCATTTCATTTTTTTCTACTCCTTCTGATGATTAACTTTATCCAAGAATGGTTCAGAAGATTAACACAATTTGTATTATAGAACCAAATAACTGATATTTGAAATTCAAATATTCATTGAGTGGCAAACAACGAAATAGTAGCTAAAATACTTTGTAATATGTAACTTCTTTGATTGCTGCATTTAGTCTCTATCATGGTTATTTTAGACACTGAAAGAATGTTATAAATGAACACCATATAATCTACCATTCTAAGAAACAGAACATTACATATACAGTTGAAGCCTGCTGTGTACCAAATTAACTCTGCAGAAAAGGCACTTATGTGGCAGACCAAAAAATTGAAAATACTTATAAAATTTCCACAGCACAATAAAAATTTCCTTACAAAGCTATAAAATCAGGCACATTATCCTTGATATAATTTTCTGAAAATCACTTACTCATGCAATCTTTACTTAAAAAAAAAAATCTAAGGATTAGCTACTAGGACAAAATAAAAATGGAAGCCCTGAATATAAAAGACTTCCCAAGATCCCATCCCATAGACTTACCGTAAACTATCTATAATGTGTTCCACATTTTTGGTATGAATATGATGTCGTTCAAGTAGTCCACTGTAGCTAGAGCCTTTCAGTGCAAGCTATGTCAACATAAAAGAAATGTTGTTTTACTATATGAAATATTATGTACATTAATCATGTCACTCAAAAGCCCTATGTAAAACAGAATTTAAACCTGTAAGTTCAAATTGAATTAGAAAGCCTGATTTCAGAAAAATCACAATTTAGTTCTAATATCAGATGCAGCCTTAAGTTTTTAGCATCATGTAATCAACAGGGTATCAAAATTTGAATGCTTTACTGCTTAAGGTTTTATGTTTTAATTACTTTTAAACATAATACTCATTGCTGGCTAAAGACCAAAGATACACTAAGAATATTAGAAGCAGTTAACCTTCACTCCACTTGGATTCACTGCTCTCTTGTGCTCAGAATTATGAACTCTATTTGGAATTTACACTAGGCCATCTAAACCAAGGGATGGTTAGCTCCCTGAGAAAGGGTAATTGTTAGATGTACAGACATGCATCATTCAAGAATTATTTTCCCTAGTTGACTACAGTAATATTTTATAACTATATTACCATTAATAATCCTTTTTAAAATATATTTCTTCAAAATAATTCATAAAGTAACCTGTTGATGGAGAAGCTAAGTGAACATCCATTTTATCATAAAGTAGAAAATGTACCCACTGGAATGAATGCAAGTAGAATTTAAAAGCATGTTATTGCCTTTCCAATTTTCTCTTTTTGTTTGTTTTTATGTGTGTTTATTTTTATTTTTTATTTGATTGTGCTGGGTAGGAGTACATTGTGTATTTACAAAGGTTCTTACAATAAATCAAACATATCATACTTAAATTTAGCCCCCTCCATCATTCTCCTTTCTGCCCCTTCACCCCACTCAAGAAATATTTTCAACAGGTATCTTTTTCCCATTTACATTCATGTGAACACGGTATTTTATACCATATTCACCCTCCTACACCCTCACCCTTTCCTCACCTCCTCCCCCTCCTACTGGTATCAGCTCCCATAAGGCAGGACCTGTTCCTCCCTCCTGTTCTTTGATTTTGCAAAAGAAAGGAAAATGAAATGACATTTTTGCTTGTTTAAGATAACTACAGAGTCAAACCCATAATTTTCTAACCCAAGGACTCCCCATCTATGACTTAAGCCAAGAATCTAGAGTCGAACTTGATACCTACTTTTCTCTTAATTCCACATCCAATTACTAAATGCTAGGTTTGATACATGCACACCTCTCTCTCTACTACCACCACTCATGATATCACATTCATGGTACTGCACAAGACGCTGATCTGGGCTACTTCTGCTCTCGTCCTCCTATAGGCTACTTCCCACAGAGGGACATACAGCATGCGTCGCCCTCCTTTAACGCACGGATAATAAAGCACGAGCTCCCTGTCAACTCTCTGAAGCAACTCTGACTTCAGCTCACCCTCTCCTGCCTCATTTTTCTGTCTCGTTCTCTACACTAGTCTTCTCTAACAAACCCTTTTCTTTGCACTTGCTGGAGTTCTCTCCCTGCCTCAGCCCAACTCTGTCTTGTGGTCTTGGAGCATGAGAATGGCCTGATCACTGCGACACAGGTGTTGCTGGACTGGTACTGTTAGAGCTGTGGTAGCCACCATCACCAATTTACTACTCCATCCCAAAACCTGTTAGTTTCCTTCATTGCATTTATCATGCCTAAATTATCTTGGGTATTTTTTTTAATCTATTTGTGTCCCCTCACTAGTATATAAATACCAAAAGAGCAGTGAGCTTATCTTGTTCACCACTGTACCCTCAGGGCCTATGTACTGGATCAGTATTTTTTGAATTCATTCATTCATACATATTTCACCCTTTTTTTTTTTTTTTGGAGGGGGAGGCTGCTGGGGATGCATGTTTCAGAAAAGCAACAACAGTGCAAAAGCAGATGTCAGAGAAGATAACCCAAGTAAGTGACAATGCATACAAAGCAGGCCATCTCTACCTTGTTAGAACTGAACAAATGAGCAGAAACAGAAAAGTTATGACTAGTACAAATTCAGATCATGATCTCACTTTAGGGGTGAACACTTTACAAAGCTAGAAATTAAGATTTTAAAAATTAAATATTTAAGTATTTGAGTACCTGAAAACTATTCATTTACATCTGAGATGAGCTCAATCAAATGTATTAAATGGAGCACTGAAAACTGCCAAGGACAATGAGAACTAATCCAAATGCACAAGAAGCCTATTAGCACAGTTTCACCAAATTTATGCTTCTGATTTGCTATTTATAAAACGTGAGAGTAGCTGACCCTTAGACTTCAATCCCTGTCCAATTTTTTTTTTTTTTTTTTTTTTGGCCGTCCTGAGGTTTGATCAGAGCCTCATGCTTGCAAGGCAGATGCCCTACCACTTGAGCCACTCTGCCAGTCATCCAAATTTTTTAATCTTATGTTCCAATTTTTGTGCCCAGGAATAAAGGACATAATCCTTAATGGATAAGTCTTTTAAATTCTATTTGGTGATTAAGAAACCTCTGTGCATACTTCCTGGTTCTCAGCAAGCTCCAGGAAATTAAGATACTCAGCAGTTGAGTGTTAGGGAATTTTGGTTTGCGATGCTGAAGGGGTCTGAATTTATACGGGGGAAAGTTTTAGAGAATTAAAAATATTGAGTTCTCTATGATTGCTAGCAACACAAAAATTCCTAAAATTCCAAAACTAAAGTTCACTTAGTATCAGACTACTTAGCATACAAACAGAAATGTCACTTCATAAATTCTTATTCCCACTCAAATTTCTTCTAATTACTTATGGTCAAGAATAAGAGTTTTTATATTATTTTCTCTAAAGTTCTAGCTGGTTGGTTGAGCTTCATTAATATCAATTAGCTAACCTAGGCAGATAAGACAAAAATCACTTAAACATCATAAATCACAAAGTCTTAAATCATTCTTTAATTGGCTCCTATATTTGTATAATTTACAAAAGCTGGTAGGAATTTGTAGTTGTGTCCCTGAAAACAACATGACTTCAAACATCTAACAACATAATTGAATCAGACAAAAACAAACACATGAATTCTTGTAAATTGTTTTATAATTAAAAGGCTAAAGAAATTAAAGGAATTTAGAACTCATTCTCAATTCTGTAATGTTCCACAACATTGGGTATGTCTTTAACATTTTTTTCCAAAAACTTCTGTTAATTCTTCTCTCATTAAAAACAAATCAATAAATATATTATTTAACAGGACACTGGGAAAAAGTACTGGGACACTGGTGAACCTAAAAAAGTCTACAGACTGACAGATTTCAGTATAAGCAAAAGTTTCACCTACAAAAAAACTGCTAAAAGCCAACATCTCTTCTCACCATAGAGTTCTACTATTAAAACACAACACACTATGAAAAGAAAGGATTCTGAGGGCACAGATTTACCACATTTTAAGGTCAGATGTGACAGTTGGGCTATTTTCTAAACAATCTACAATACTTTTATTAAACTATAGTTCACATTTTTACTTGGCCCAAACTGAATTTATTAGAATTATAAATTTTTATAACTTGTTTTACCAGTTAATTATTAGGACTTTGTATTCTACACAATTGCCATGAACACTCAATAAATGAAAGAGCTGTCTTTTAAAAATTTAACACGTAAGAAATGCAAAAACTCTTGTGACATGACAGTTTGTTATATAGACTCACTGGGCATAATTTAAGCACCCTTAAGAGTGTACACACTTAACTGGTATTACGTCCCATTCAAAATTGCCTAAAACGGTTAGTGGCATCTAAGTAACTGCTACAAAGTCTACTACTCACCTCTCACAATCAGAGGTGAGCACTGACTCCTGCATATTCTTAAGATATATGCAGATATTTACCTTTGGTCATTTCTAGTCCACTTACTCTTTCTCCCAGTCCTTACCTTCACTTTCCCCACCCTTCTCTTTCTATTTCTGTATTCTTTTGCTAATTCTGTTACTTCCTCCCTTGTATGTGGGTATTGCTCAAGGTTGCATCTTTGGCTTTCTTATTTGCTCTCACTTCTTTTTTCCTGATTTACCTTCCCATCCCAAGTACCTGATCCACCAAGTACGAGCTAGTAACTGTGAAATTTATCCTGCCAGCCCAGGCCCCTCTCTTGAGCTACTGCTCAAATTTTCAAATGCCTTTCCTTACTACCCACAGTAGTTCTAACACATCTCCCCAGACAGATCTAAACTTGACTATATATTTCCCTTTCAAATGTGCTCTTCTGAGTGTCATGTGTCAGTTAATACTAGCACCATTTACTTAGTCTGAATAAACATAGCTGCTATCCTTAATTCTTCCCTCAGACTCAATATTGACAGCAAGTCACTGAGAAAGCCGAATAATTCTACCATAAACTTTCTCCAAACTCCGTCCTATGCATTCATACTGCCATTGCTTGAGTTCTGGACCACATCGACTCATAGCGACTAATGCAAAAGCTTACCTCCAGATTTTCTAACATAACTCCTTTAAAAGTCTTTAACTAACCTATCCCACAATCTGACCACCACCACCACCAGAAGCCTTCTCATGCTACTGCCAAAATACTGAAGTCGCAGAAAAATTGACCCTTCTCACCCCACTCCTGTAGGAAGAGACAGGATTATATTCTGCCAAAACTGTCTGAAAACCACTACAAGCTTCTTAGCTTGACAGCTGACACCTTTATATCATGTCCAGCCTACCTGTTTGGGCTCAATAGCTCAACATGCTTTTTTTTTTTTTTGTGGTACAAGGGTTTGAACTCTACCATTTGAGCCATACTCCAGCCTCAATATACTTACTCCTCAGCAATGATTTTTAAACTGCCCTGACAATGCCTAAGAAATAGATTAAAATTACTCTCAATATTTCTATTAAATAGGAAATAAAACATGATGTATAATTGTTTCCTGTTATCTTTCATTTCATATATAAACACTGAGTCACAATGTATAATATTTCTAACTGTGGATCACAGTCAAAAAATTTTTTGACTTTTTGTGGGCTATAAGATGAACTTCACCCATCTTGCAAGAATTGTTCTCTTCCATTC